GAGAGTACATCAATAGCTACATGATACCTGTAACACTGAAGCAACAGATGCATATCTTGCTCAACACCATCGAGGCCTACTGCAGCCAGGCGAACCAAATGAGGCGGCGCATGAGAAATCGTCGGTAGAGAGAGGCGCGATATCGTCACGAATATAGAATTATATATTAAGTGTTAGTCATAATTTGTGCTCGTTTACTCTATGAAAGGAAAGGAAAGCCAAGCTTGATTTCCAAATAATTTAATATGATTTTGATTGATTTTTGTAAGTTTTTTTTCTCTTATTTTCACTTATTTACAAATTGGCTTGCATATGAGATTATATGTTTTCTACAATTGCATTGTTTCCTTTTTCTTTTACCATATAACAGATTACTTAGAATTATATGTATTATGTATTTAATAAGTAAACAAACGTACATACAACATATATATATACATCTATATATATATATATATATGCATCGATCTCTAGCTGCTTTATGAAACTGTTTATAGACGGGCGTTTGCTTGTTGTATTTATGTTCGTTTATGCAAATGGTATGTATAAAAGTGTGAATACGGTTTTATCCAATGTTATGAACGGCTGCAGGCTCCGATATTTGATCTATATATATATATAGTTTATGTAAAACTCACTTTATTCCTAAACAAAAACATAACCATTTGCGTGCATTTAGTGTAAGTGTTTTGGACAAATCCAAATTGAATGTTGTTAAATGAATTGATAGAATAAAAAAGTCGAAAAGTACATACAAAAAACAAATGTGTTTGATCAATTTTAGCCCATTAAATAACAAAGAAACATAAAATATTGAAATCACATGCGTCTGTGGAAAGCAACGCCTTAGGTAAAGCACAATACTCTGGTAGCTGAACCGCACTCAATACTTGCGAGTCACGCGCTCCAAGCTATCACCGATTGAACCTATTGGGTGGATAAACACAACTAACTATTAGACTATAAAATAATTATCATCATAAATCTCACTGTGTGTTTGTGTGTGTGTGTATGAATTTTGTGTTGTTGTGTTTGCAAATGTTGTATTATTTACCATCAAAGTTAAAGTTCTGCTTTGTTTTATATTGAAATGTTAAATCAGTCGATTGCTTCCATATAAAATGACGCACTGTACGCAGATCCATATTCGGATCAACGATCTGAGACAGATAAAACACATTAGCTAAAAATGTAAACCGTATGCGGTTTTATAGTTTCACTTACCACATCGTTGCACCACAACTCTATGCGCTCCTCCGCTGGCAGCTGAGATCCCTCCGAATTGGCATCGCTTTGACTATTTTGTAATGAGTTATTAGCATTGCCGCCGCTAGGCGTTGTCTCTGCATTAAGCACCTTCTCCAGCACATGCTCGCATACCTTGCGACACTGTATAAACTCGTTGGCCACCAGGCGATCCTGTTCACGCAAACCAAATAGTTATATTAAGTTAACATTTCGTTAAAGAGTTGCTCATACCTTTTTGGTGCGCTCGGGCTTGGTCATTTGTGGATGTGGCTGCAGGAAGAACGGTATTTTTAGGAATTTGGGTATATTTCTTTCGATCACAACGTCCGTCACCCATTGCGGCGCCGTCTCATGGAGCAGTGTGCTCTCACTGTCGCCCGCAGCATCGCGCACCAGCAGTCGACACACGGTGCGTCCACCCACCTCACTACAAAATAAACGATGATCCAAGGATTAAACAAGTTTAAGTCTTGGATTTACACTCACCTAAATATGACAGGTGTGTGTTTGGGCACTTGAAAATAGCCATTGCCGCGCACGTCGGGCTCCATTTCATTTGGCGGCATACTGTGGGGCGGAGTCCAATACTCTAGCAGTGCCTCCAAAAGAAGCTTTCCATAATTGATCTGCAAATATATATATAAAAGATTATATGCTCTGTCTACATAAGCTAAGGTACATACTTTGATCTCTGTTGTTGGATCATCACATTCAGGTAGGCCGGCTTCTATGGATACCCAAGCCGCAAAGCAATCAACCTCCTCTTGACCTAAAACTATCGTTGGCATCTGTGCAAACCAAAGAAAGTTAATTGATTAGAATATTTCTAAATGTGATCAATGGTAAATAATGAAACGTACGCCGGTTTTTAAATCAACAGTAAACCAATTTGGAATGTAGACTTGTTTGTTACGCTTCTTCACTTCCTCTTCGTAGTCGACGGGACCCAGTTCTTCTTTTTTGATCACACGTAGCACGTCATAGACCACAACCTGATCCTGTGAGTCTTTTGTTATGATATAGCGTTTATCGTTTAGCACCGTGCATTCCTTGATCGCCGCTCCACCTTTAATGCACGCCAGCTCTGTGCCACCCATTGTCCACTGTGCATCCATGCCCCCAGAGCTGAGCGTGCATCTGTCATACATGGGCAGCTTCCAGCAACGTATATCCGAATTCCAAGTAGTTGCCCATACACCTGTTTTATCGATATTATAGCCCAAACTGAGCACTGGCGCCTTCTCCTCACATACAAGCATCTTGTTGCTGGGATTGCGCATTTCCGTTACAATTATATTTCGATCTCTGCTGCCCGAAATAATGTACTGGAAATTCTCGCTCATAAGCAACGACCACACGCCCTCCTTGTGGACGTGTATCGTTTGTATGCAACGCTGTTGGCCCAAGTTCCACACCTTGATTGTGCCATCAGAGCTGCCGGAGACAACCTGATTGCCATCCGGTGATACAACGAGGCAGCGTACGTTCTCTGTGTGGCCGCGCAGCTTCATGCTGCGCATGCAAGTTCGCGGATCCCATATGCGCAATATGTTCTCCGTGGACCCGCTGACAATAACGGTTCCGGAGGGATTCATGGCCAGGCTGTATATTGAGTCCTTCGAGCCTGTCAGACTAGAGGTTGTAACGGTATTGTTGCTGGCAGTTAAAGCTGTTAGCGTATTCACATCCCACAAAAATATGGCCTTATCCAGGCCTGCACTGGCAACTTGTTCCCGATCCTTGGCATATGCCAGCGCCTGCACATAATCGCGATGCGTGCGCAGTGTGGACATGCAAAAGCCTTTGTGTGCATTCCACACCTTCACAGTGGTATCACAGCTGGCGCTGATCACTGCAAAGAGAGGTCGATTAGCTAGTTAAAAGCACTCGAACTTCACGAATGGGACTTACAATTTCTGCCGTTACAGCAGAGCACAATGTCGTTGACCCAGTCGTTGTGATGCTCCATAGATTGTATATACTTATCGTTGGATTCCGTGCGTGTGTTCCAGACCCGTATAATGGCATCTCGACCCGCCGAATACAACTTGCCATTGTTGCTATCCAATTGCAGAGCGTTAACGCCATTCCGATGCTGTTTCTCCTCCGCGTCTCGTATCACAAAGGAAACCTGGAAAAAATTAAAAAAAAAAAAAAAATGAACAAATACCAAGCAGCATGAATACTCGTAATTCAATTAAGGGCTGTGCCCAAAAAGTCAGGTAATCTCGTGCGTTACTTACGCCAGCGGCACCTCCATGCCATAAACCCGGTGTTTCTTATTGGGGTAAACTCACCTGCATTTTTTTTCTGGCCTGGCAAGTTTTGTGCGTCAACATGTCTTACACGGCACGAGCTTAAGCTGTCGTTGTTGCGTGTATTTTGTGTTATCTTCACGTGATTGTTGTGTACTGCTGCACATTAAATACGCGCATTAATTAATTTATTATCCTAGCTGCAAAAAACTCAACACTATATGCTTTTCGGCCAATGCACGATAATTTCTGTAAGCGATAAATTGTTATCGAAATTTGTTGATATAAATACATTAAATTGTTTTCGACTATGTGGCAGCGCTATGACATCAAGTTAAGCAATTTTAAATTGTCTGTAAGGCCGTTGAAATAATTGTAAATAAAAAAAACTTGAATTCCAACTAAATCACTTAAAATTAAATGAGCATATACATATTTGTATTATATTTTCAAGCAATATTACTGACATCCCTGCAATTGCAAGCAAGAAAGTTGCCACCATGTTTTATATTACCGGCTATTGATGGTTACACACGCATTTTGTATATTTATTACTGTAAGCACACGTTGCCTATTTAGTCAGATAATGAAAACAAAGCTTGAAATAACTTTACACAAGAATTCCTACTAGAAACAATTTATTTATTTAGATACCATCGACACAGGCTAAAAGCAAACCGGCACAATAATCTTTAATTGCGCCACTTGACAACACTGTCTGTTCTTTACATAACTGAAGAGAGCAACACTTTTTGCATTTGTAGCATCCAAAAAATTTCACACAATGGCTAGCACACAGAATAAAGACGCCTGCACCATTTGCGAGAAAGTTGGTCTAAGACCCCTGACCAAAGACAACGTATTCAACTATTACATACCACTGCACGGTCTCGTAAGCTATGGAGCCCTTAGCGTCAACGTCATGAATCCCCAGATTGTGCCGAAACTATTACCCAAAAAGGATCTGACGAATGTATTCCTGATTTCCGCAGTCGTTGGAAGTGCCTTCTATATTTACGGCCGACCACACTTAAAGGACATTAAGAACAACAAACGCGGAGCGTATGCATTGCTTGCAGCTACGCTGTTTAGCATGGGATCGGTACTGGCCTGGGCACTGATCAAATCCGCGTTGCCTAAGGACAACTCGCTGCTCGCCACGCTAGCCGGCTTGGGAACAGGCGCCGCCATTGTCAAAATTGGTACGGACTACATTCATGACCTTGACAAGCTGAAGAACTAAAACAAAAGTTGATGGCTACCGAGACGGAAATGGTAAAGGCGATTTATGTTGTATACTAGTTTTTGTAAAGTTGCAGACATGCCCACGATTATAATACGCTCATAGTTTAATAATGTGCAAAATATTTACGTACGCAACTTAAATAAAAATTTAATTAGTGACAAAAGTAACTAAATGTAGTACTCGTTTGGGATTGGCCAGGAATTCATTGAATTTACTCTAAAGACTGGCTCAGAATATTAAAGTTTTTTTTATTTAAAATTAAATATACCTTTAATTGCCTTCTCTTAACTGCTAATAATGCTTAACAATTGAATTGTTTTATATATGTGTGTGTGTGTGTGTGAAATCGTTCAATATGTATGCTAACTACTATTTTCGATTTCAATAAAGTTTCTTAAGCGCCAAATACTTATTTACAAACTTGATCTGGGTTAAAACGTTCTACAAATTGCCTTAGCGGCATTGAATTGACGACTACTACTATTTATTGTTAATCATGTTGTTTTGTTTTGTTTTTGTATTGCAAAAGCATACAAATTACGTTTAAACTTAATCTTAAATATGCATACATACTTTACAAACATACAGTGGTCATTAGTTGCTTATCTACGCTCTAATCAATATATGCAATACAAAAAAAAATCATCTAAACATCACTGTATATATTTACGATTTGTTTCAACGTGCTTAATTATCCCGTTGAAATTCGAAACAAATAAATTATAAGATACATATTGCATTTACAAAACACAAGGGTGCGGCCTAGAAACAATATAAGCATGATTGGAAGATGCGAAGCGATTTCGACTATTACATTATTGTGGACAGTCCCACAAACACTGAACGCTTTGCCTAATCTTTAAGAATGCAACAATTTTAATTACATTCAAGCTGCCAGCTAGCAGCAATTACATTCATTTCGTTTCAAGTTGTTGTTGCCGCCGCCGACACAGCTTTCAATATATAATTATTGCACCCTCCTGTAGTCCATTCTACTGCACTTTTAATTGCACACCGAGCACCTCGCGCAGTTCATGCAGCTCCTGTGGTCCCTGCATAAGGCGCTTAACGCCACGGGGCAAGCCGCGGCATGATGCAAGATTTATTGAGCTCATGTGCACACAGTTCGTGAGTATTTCCTTAACCGCCTCCTCAGATACTGATGAGCCGCATAGATTTAAGTGACTGTTAAAAGGCAAAAAAATTCAGTTTCAATTGAGCATTAAATAATTTCGAATATAGTTCACTTACGCCAATGGAGACTCGCTGCCTTTCTCAGCCAGTGCGCGCAAAGCATTGTCTATGGGCTGCTGGACGTTAGCCCAGGCCAGATCCAGTTCGATTAGACTATGCGCCCATTTGGACGCAATAAGTTCCAGACCCGATCTGCAAGGAACATAGATATATTATTATATTAAGTTCTGTTCTGAATTCTATGCATGGCCCCACTCACCCCATATCACGGGTGACCGAGCAGCCGGAGAGAAATAAATGCTTAATATCCCAGGCTGGCAAACGTATTAAGCTTTCGTGCGTCAGACGTGTGCAATTGCGCACATCCAGTAGCTTTAACTTAGAGCTACTCTTTAATATACGTTGTAGATGGTCATCACTTATGATGCGGGATTCATCGGTCAAAGCTGCCACGGAGAGCTCCTCTAGATTGGGAAAACCTGGCGAGTCCATCTGAAAATCAAAATGTATTAATTAAAAGGTTTGGCAATAAAGTCAACCATCAGTACTCACAATCTCCTGCATGCTGGCCGTACTCGGCGTTATGTGGGAGTTGGTGACACGCAGCACCTTAAGCTTCTGGCAACCATGCTGCAGCTTCTCGATGTACAGCACGCCGTGCGATGTAGCTTGTGTGGTTACGTTTGAGAGATCTAGGAGCGTCAAATTTGGACAATGCGTCTGCGAAGAGAAAAGGTTAATGGCAACATTCATTAATACAACTGTCTCAAATAAAAGTAAAAAATTGTTTTCCGCACCGCAAGTACGCTGACAATATTGGGAATTCCAGCTAGACGGTTGTGTGCCAAGTAAAGGTGGGTCAAGCGACTGCCCATGGTCTGGAGCGCATTGCAAAGTGAGTTAACGCCAACAGCGCTCTTGCTAGCATTCATTTCGACCTGTAAAAGCGTTTTAAAAATAATTTACAAAGTATTCTATCGTACTTTACTGACTTACATTAATTGAGCTTAAGTCTAAGCGCTGTAGCTTTTGCATATTATCGACAAGATACGTCAAATGATCCGATGTGAAGCCTTTCCAGCCAGATAGCGTGATGCCCGTCAGATTTGGACAGCCAGTGGAGAGCTTTGCCAGAAAGCAATTGATGTCTGATATCTTCCAATTGGCTGTAAATCAAGAATTAAGTTATAATATCAACATGTAAAGAAGCCTGCGCGGATACTTACAGACATTTAATTCGGTGCAAGCACTGCAACGATTGTCCACAAACCATTTCAGTTTAAGTTCCGTTCGGTACTTTTCCTTAATCCAGGTGGTCAAATCCATGGTGCGCCATAGCGTTGGTCTCAGCGAGACCTGTCGCCACAGCGAGCACACACGACCCAACCGAAATAGGGTGGGCAGGCAGCCCTCCTTATCGACAACATGTTCAAAAATCTGTAAGCATTTATGGAAAAAATTACCATGGAGTTAACAGAATATCTCTACTATGCTGTTGACTTACACGAAAGAGCACTTCTTCAGGTAACTTATGGCCCCAGGCACTCTGCTCAACCGGCTCGCTGTCCGCTTCTGCCGCCTGCTGAGCAGAGGCGTTTGTTGATGTCCTTTTCTGGCGCTCGCCGTTGTTGCTGCCCCCACCACCCTTCTTCTTGCGCGGCTCATACTCACTCTCGTCGCTGTCCTGTTGTTGTTTTGGTTTGCGAACGCGCTTGCGTGCCGGCTTCGCTGGCGCTGGTGGCCTTGGGGCCGGCGCAGAGACCACTGGCAATTCTGATGATCCAGCAGCCGCATCGGACTTCTTAATGCACAGCTTGATGCCAACTTTGTTGTCGCTGATTTCGCTCTCGTACATGGGCAAAGCCTTTGGCTTGCGCGCACGTGACGCTCGCGGCGATGTGTTGGCTGACTTGTTAAGTTTCTTATTGAGCGCCGTTACCAGCGGTTTGCCCGACTTTGGTATGGTGCCATTAACAACAGCTGTTGCCTTATCCAGTTCCAGCTCCAGCTCCTCCTTCTGCGTTGCTTCCTCTTTTGGTGCTAACGTTGGCTGCGGCTGCTGTTTTTGTTTTTGCTCTTGTTGTTGCTGATCTGCTTCTCCCGTAGGCGACCGCTGACCCTCAGAAGCCGGCGAGCATGAGGTCGATGTGGCCGTATTTGTTTCATCCGTTTGTGTTTCCGACTTGGGTGGTGATAGTATATTCTCGGGTATAGCTGCTGCAGCCACTGTGCCACTTGACGCTGCAGTCGGTGTTGCACTCGCTTCGGCCGCCAGCAGCTGTGGCGGCGTCTGCGAAGGTGTCGACGGAGTCAGCGTATTGATGTCCACTGTGGTTGCCGTGGAGCATTGCTCGCTTTGTGCCTGCACATTATCCGAGTCCATTGGTGCTGCATCAGATGTGGTATCTTTGGATTCTTTGCCGCTGGCCGTAGTAGCAGCATCCACTTGCTGCTCCTCACTCTGCGCTACATCGCTTGTGGAGGACTCCTTCGTCGCTTCACTCATTTCCATACGGATTTTCTGCAATGGAAATTGGTGAAAGGTAAATATGTGCATCCATTATAGCGGCCGGAAAATCGATGCAAAACAAACTCAACCCATTTTGGCGGTTTTTCCCAGTTCTCTATACGTTCTCATTCTTGAGCGCTCTCCCAAACTCAACATGCCAGTCGTAAATCTCACCTTCTACAACAAATTACATATGTATTTTTTTGTTTTTATTTTTATTCGTTTGTTCGCTTTTAATAAACAAGTTGCGGTAGGGTCGCACCGACACGTCGGTTACCTGCTTGCTAAGAGCGCTTCGGTGCCCAATCAGGTCGCTTGCTTTGAACCAAGCTTCACAAACAATCTTATCGCATGCTGATAAGTAAATTTTCGGTAATTAGTTTTTATACATACAAATCTCAAAAAACATGTTGATTTTTGACTGCCAACCAGGCGATGCACTCATATGCCTCGCGCTACAATTGCGTGCAGGGTGCAATAATCGGCATTCAACTCACCACTTGAAGAGAGGTAGGTACACAAATGTATGTTATCTCCGTACACGACTGCTTGACTCGCTTGCACTCACTGCGGTACTATATCAGTGCTCCGGTGTGAACAGTGCGGCACTATGTGTGTGTTTGAACTGTTCGATTCGGAAGAGATTTTTTCGGTTGGCGTTCATGGAATTTTTTACGCGTTTTGCTATCAAAACTTAAGTTTTTACATTTTTGCCAAGCACTAGAGGCACTGAACACTTATTGATCACGGCATTGACAACGATTCACGCATATGAAACATCCCAATTCAATGAAAACTTATTTTAATCAACTGCAACGACGTAGAAACGAGAGCAGCAATGTTGTTGTCGTATCGATACGCGACATCGATAGATTAGTTTCTACAGTGAGTGAGACCAGATTCGATAAAGAATAAAATGTAAAGTCAGGCAAGAACCGCCTTAAGTCCAAAAATACAACTTTATGTTTATCAGTTTTTGGATTTTTAAATTGCTTTATATTATTGAAGCCGATTCCGAAAATAAACAAATTATTTGAACTGCTTTTAGTATTCGTAATCCAAATTCGCAATCTCTGGCAAAAGAGTGAGATCTTTGTGAATTTCAAGCCAGCGCTTAGCATGATATGAGGTCTTTCCGAATGTTCGCCCGAATTTGTACATATTTCCAGGCACATGACCGGCATAGCTGGGATTCATGCCATGATTGTTATGATAAATAATAAAGTGTCCCACTGGCGGACACTTTATGGCGGGTGTGCTCAGGTCCTGGCCGCAGCACCACGAATCCCTCTTCCTCTTATACATATAGTCCGAGAAGCTGCAGAGTGCATTATGCGTGAGCACCTTGCTGGGCTCACCGAACCGCGTCACAGCCATGGGTATGTGGGCAGCATAGCCATTGATGATGAACTTATCCGAGTCATCATCATCTAGGAAGTGGGGCGAAGTGAACTTACTGTAGCGTAGCTTCTCTGTCGTTGGCGGGCACTTCTCCTCCTTGATGCCCTTACTGACAGGCGTAACGGGTATCAGGGGTGCGCGATAATGCGAGTGCGGCAGCTGCAGGATGAGGGCATAATTAAGATTCTCCACACAGTTTCTTAGGGCTACTCACCAGTCGCTCGTTTAGTTTGTGCTCGAACAAGCCGCGGCCACTCTCGAGCAGATCACGATGGCGCAGCGTGCGATTCTCACATCGGTACAGCTGCATCAGGGTCTCGTGCTGAGCCACGCCCGCGGTGGCGGCAGCAACGTAGCGTTTGCCCGTCTGCTTGAACATGTTGGGCACAAAGCCCGCATAACCAGGTATTATGGGATGGCGATAGACGGAGTCGACAAACTCCTCGCGATCGCTTAAGATCTTCAACTCATTCTCGGTTGGGTAATCCTTGAGATCGGGCTTAGCGTGTATGGGCGCGACAATCAGCTCGGGCGCATGATTACTGCAAGGATCAATGAGCAGCGTGTGCGTCTGTTTGCCATAGGTTTTGCCAACGCGATCACGATTCTCCGGACAGTGTCCAGTATAACTGTGGACAGGATGCTGAGACAGATTCTGCGGTAGTGGGCATAGAGCGAAGCTTACCCTGGCACCAAGTGTGGCTCAGGTGTTATGGATGTTTCCATATTTTAACAGTATATACAGAAAATTTGGAAATAAAACTTTATACTTAGAAAAATTTAACTACAACATTGATGTGCTGTTTAAAATATATACAATTATATACAGTGACAACTTAAAAGATGCTATACTGTTTCGCTTTGGCATCCATGTTGGGTTAATGAATGTAAAATTTAACTAATGCCAATAGTCCCTCAACCTAGTTTATCAGACGCCAGCAATGCGCAACATTTGCTCAGTGCTAACAATTTTCTCGCGCGGCTTGCCCTTGGCCTTGCCCGCCTCGCTTTCGTGTTGGTCGATGCGACGCCAGCCTTCCCAGTTGACAATGCGCCTGCTGCCCGGCTCAAAGCCAGGCTTTGCTGAGGCTGTGTCCACAGCTTTGTTTGCAATATCATCGCAGATAGTTTTGGCCACGGCGAAGGCGCCATTCATGGTGGTCAGAATGACACCAGTGGGTCCAGTGCACAGCCAGCCAGCCACATACAGGCCAGGCTCCACAGCGTCGGATTCGCCGGGCTTCAGCACACGGCCCTGGCGATTGCATACATGACCACGTTTCGGATCAAAGTTGATGCCAGCATCGGCGCAACTGGATTTATAGCCAATGCTGCGTAGAATTAAATCGGCTGGCAGCCGTTCGGAAGCCTCAGTGGCGACTGCTGCCTCGTTCTCCTGCAGCTCAGTTATGCTAAATTCCATTTCATTTGCCGCAATGGCTTTGGGAGCGCGCAGAAAGATGGGCAGGAATTGCTTGCCATTTGCTGCAGCCCTGGGCTTCCTCTGTTCGCCCAGACTCTTGAGCATCAGTTCAGTTAGACGCCTTCGTGGTCGCTGCAACTTGTCCACCTGCTCGGCAATGCCTGCGAACAGTCGCAGTTTAGATGGAATAGGGATTGTTACCTTTCATATACTTTACCCGTAAAGTCCGCTGCACGCCAACAAGTCTCGACATTGGGCAATTTGAGCATCTCGCGCAGCTCTTTAATCGTGAAGGCCGCCTGCAGCGGACCACGTCGACCCACCAGGTGTACACGCTCCACCTTGCTGCGCGCCAGTGCCTCCAAGGCATACTCCGTGGTATCTGTTAGCTGTGTGAAAAGAACCCAAGATCAGTTTAGCTCAGACCCCTTTTAAGGCAAACATACCTTCAGGGTGTCGATTGGACTTAGCAACATGCGTGCCACATCAACGGCCACGTTGCCCTGGCCCACAATCGTGACGTCACGTCCGCTCAAGTCCGGCTGCAGCTGCTCGGCGCCGGGCAGACCATTATACCAGGCTACAAATTTTCGCGCCGATATCACATGCGGTGCCTGCCGCTCGTTGTCCAGCTGCAGCTCCCGATCCTGATCCGCGCCATAGGTGAGCAACACGGCATGGTAGCGATCCCGCAGCTCCTGTAGGCTCACATCCTCGCCGAGCGTTACGTTGCCAAAAAAACGTAAACGCGGATGCTCCGCCGTCTTCGTAAACGTGTTGATGACATTCTTGACCTCCGGATGATCGGGCGCAACTCCAAAGCTGGAATGTCGAGATTTGCATAATGGCAATAGTCATTAGTCGATAAGTGTCTGTGTAAGCCAGCGAGCAGCGAACCATTATATAAATACGTCCTACGCGATTGCCACACAGAACGCACTTGTCACTCATCGGCCCAAGATGTGGACGGCTGCTGCTCTGCTTGTGCTGTGCCTGTTTTGCCAGCTAACGCTTGTGCCCGCGACGCCTGCGCCCATATGGAGTCTCGACCAGGTGGGCTGTAAGTAGCCGCAGCTGCAGCTCCTTTGTCATGTCATTTAATTCCTGCCTTCTGCTTCTCCTTCAGCTTACTTTAATGGCATCTTTCGCTCTATTGTTGGACCGCTTTTTGGGTTTGGCAACGACGATGCCCGCAATACAACCCCCAGCAATTAGTTTATATGCAGCTTACCGCACCAATCCGAACGGCACCGGCAGCTTCTCCACGATGTCCACGGTGCAGTCGCTCAGCTGCTTGAGCAAATATTGTGCCGCATAGAAACCCGCTGGGCCGGCGCCCACAATGCAAATTCGTTTGACTGCTGCTGTTGACTGTTGCACATTTTGGTATTTAATTGCACTTGTACTCAAATTACAGCTGTATATATTTAACAATTTATGTCGGGAATATACAAAACTACGCGTGAAACTCATGTTTGTCTTAGGAGAAAGCTTCGTAATGCTGAAATGGCACAAACCAAAACATAGCGCCAAGTGTGACCGTTCGCATGCGAGCGCAAAATTTTGTACGTGTGGCAGCACTGGCCAGCAGCTAGGCGCTAAATTTAAATTAACTGCAGCTAACATATATGGTAACTTGTATTTTATTCAATTTTTAAAATACTTAATATAATTTATAACGAGCTTATGCAGCTTGGAATTTTTGTTCCTAGATATTGCTTCGAGTTTTTTTTTTTACTCATGATGCAGGGCCAGCCAGCGTTTGGCGTCGACGGTAGAACGCCCAAAGGAATGCCCCACGTTATATATCTCGCCGGGCACATGCCCACCGTAGCGTGGCAACAAACCGATCACCCGCGGATATATAACGCCGTTGGTAGTCGCAAATGAGCGTCCAATGCCAGCGCTGCGCACGGGCACCCACTCGACGCTGCGCCGAAAGTACATGTCATCCTTTGGATTGCACCAGCCGCCCGACGGCAGATAAAAATCGAAACCACCTGGAAATATGAGACAGGCCATTAGACGAACATTATTATACACAGATAAAATTATACTCACGATTCGAATAAGCCATTATGGATTATATAAATATATATATATAGTTGTAGACGATCTGTTGCTCGAAAATGATTTGTAGAAACTAAGCGTATGGAAAATGCTACGAGCTGACGGAAGGAGCTTCGACAAAATGATTTATTTATTTGCCATGGCAACGACAATGTTTATTGGGTGCCGACAGTTCATAAAGTTAGTTTGGGGGGTGAGAGCAGGCTGCAAAATTGTTAGGAGGCCAGCAACAAGTTTTGGCCAAGTCACGAAATGTCAGGGCTGATTTTAATAGTAATAAATGTGGTTGTTATTTGTGAAATAAACACGCACTTCAATTTAATTTAAACTATATAACTTGTATATTGATTAATGCGCACAATGCTACACGTACATGGATATACAATTGTTTATTCATTTACAGGGAATTTATTTTGATTATCATTTAAAAGAAAAACGCAATATATATTCAATTTAATATAAATTTTAAGAATCTATTGCACAGCGTCTGCGCTCGGAGTTTGCAGCCGGAGCCGGAAGTATCAGAAGCTATGGGCAATATGTGGGGCTATGCACCAAAATTCAATTGGACTTCTTGGTCTTCTTTTGCTGCTTGCTCTTGAGTTTCTCCCGCTTCTTGAGCTCCTTCTCCATCAGCGACTTGTACAGCTTGAAGCCAAATAGAGCTGAAAGAGTAAACAGTAAAAGAGATCGTTAGCGGCTGCCAGTGCCATGCCAATGGGTGCAAGGGTGCAGAATTAACCGATTACTGAGACGACAAGGAATATCACAGCTACCACAATGGACGTGGTGTAGGTTTGGGCAATGTGCGAATGCTGCAGCAAACGGCGCTCGATGCGCACAATTGCGTCCTGAATGGAGCCCTTCATCTCGCTAAGGAACTTGTGGCGATCGCCTTCGGTCAGTGAATCCATTTTGGCCTGTAGATTGCCAATTTTCTGTATAAGATCCTCGGCAAATTTGCTATGCGGCCCCGTCTTAGCGACCAAGGCCTCCACAGAGCGCTTCAGCTGCTCAATAATGGACTCTTCGCCCGAACTCATAGTTTTATACTATTTCTAGAGAATTTTGGATACAAAATTTGATGACAAACAAAATAAGATAATCGGCATAGCCCGGTGTCTGACAACGTGCAGTGTCCAAAGCTTTTGTCGTTATGATTTGCCGCTTTTACAATTTTTTGTGGTGGATTTCTCCTATCTTATCGAAAATCGAACACCTATAAACCAACATTCTAAACGATGTTTACGTCTGAGTATGTTAACAGCGCACACTATCCACACACACATATATATATATACATATATCTATATATATATATATATATGTGTGTGTGTGTGTGTGTGCTGTTTGGTTTTCGGGAGGTGGCACTTTTGGCGAGGTCGGTCAGGGCTTTTGGGAAGAACTCAGCTTACCAAAGACGACCAGTATGAGCGTAATCATCACAAAGAATACTAAATACTCTCTGGAACTGTGGCCGGGATGTCCGTAACGCATGTAATCCTCCGGCGATGGCGGCTTGGGATTAAATATATTTTCGCGCAGCTCGGCACGTTCAGCATCGGAAAGGCCTTCCATGGATTCGACCATTTTCCAGATTTCCTCAGCACTGGGCATTTGAAAGTCTGGCGAACCGGGACCCGCACCCGGCGGCAGGGCGAAACCCTGATCCCCGCCAGCTGCTGCCGCAGCGGCCACATCCTCAGCAAATGCCTGCTGATTTATTGGGTCTTCTGCCATATTTTATTGTGCTTTAACTAACGTTATGTTGACGGGCTGGGCTTGCTTAACGGTTTATTGCGTCTGCATTGGGTGGAAATTATAAAATCTTAGAATTTAATCAAAGCCTCCAAAACAGGCGTATTTATAGAACTAACTAGACTGGAAAACTATTTTTAGCATGCAGCAGCTTCTTTTTTTCCTTTTTTATAAGCTTATATTAATCATTAGGCGCATTAAAAAATGAAAAACTTTGGCAACGCAAATAAAATTCACGATTTAAATTGATTTATGACAATACAAAATTCAACGTGGCAAAGCGAACGGCGCGAGACGCGAACGCACGCAATGCGCTCTTATGGCATTTTAGACTAGTTCCGTCAACAGCAGTCGTGGCCGAGTGGTTAAGGCGTCTGACTCGAAATCAGATTCCCTCTGGGAGCGTAGGTTCGAATCCTACCGGCTGCGAGTTGGTGAAATCTTTTTTTTTATTTTTTTTAAATCTGAATTAAATTTATTTCCTCTCGTTATTTTTCGTTTATTGCCTAAAACTCACTTTACGTAATTTATGTATAGTTTTAAATGACAGCGCAATTAACGTGCTGCATCGCCGGCTGCTTTGGCAAACTGAACGCTAAAAATCAAATCTAATATATAAATTGACACTTATTTGTAATCAGCCCGCTTATATTTCGTTATTTGTGAGATATATGCGAGAGCCCGGCAGTTGTTGCTTTTTGTTTCGCTGCGCTTTGTATTTTGCTTTTGGCGTCCGGCGTAAGCGTCAGCACATTTAGTATACACTCACCGAGGGTATTATAACTTATTGTTGAAATGTGTAACACCCCGGACCCCATCAATTTTGTATACATTCCTGATTAGTATCTGTCTGTTTCTATACTAGTCTCTTAGTCTAAATGCGTCCGTCATGAAGCTTTGCATAGGATCGTCTTTTATGCAGTCTCATGTCGAAATCGGACGATCTCGCAATATCTCTATGTCATACAGCTGCCATAGAAATGATAAGTCGAAAAGAAATACCCTATACAAAAAACTCGTCTGTTTATCAAGATATCACAAGATATCACGACATATAGGAATCATCATTCTCTCCCTATATCGGCAACTTAAAGAGTATTTACTCTTCGACAAAGTTGTATTATTCTGCTGTTTTAAAGGTAAGTTAATAATGAATAAGCAGCAACTAAATGTGTGATAAGATGCCTTCATTATGCGGCCTGAAGAGCCACGCTTATCAGCTAAACGAACCTAAATATATAACCATAAAGTATGAGCATGCAGCTAAGGACTGAATAAAACAAAGGATAGCAAAAGATACAAATGTAAAAAGAACTTTTTAAAAAAAAAGGCGTCTTGCAATAATCGAACTCGAACTCGAGTGTTGCCGTGGCACGTGTCCAGCCACATTGACTGACCCAATCAATGGTTAGTGGCCAATGATGTTTGCCGGGCTCTTATCACTGCGGCACTTATCACATCGCATTTGAACAGCAAAAGTTGTATACGTAGGCGAAACAAAAAGAAAAGGAAACTCGTTATCGCAGAGCACGTCAAGTACACGTATGCACACGCACATAAAAAGAGAATAACTTTTAGAGATACAAATATATATTCCAATAAGAATGAAGATAACGGCTTTCCAAAACAGCTTAACAGAGAACGTAACAGTGGCAGCGGCGCAGAGGGGGCGATTAGCAGCAGTTGAATTCTAGTTGTATTTTTTTTTGTGGTGAAAGTTTGCTTTTGACCCAATTAGCAGTGCGGCTTTATTATTGTTCAGAGTGTGTATATTGGCGAGTAGATAGTTGGGGTTGGTGGAAGGAGGGACGGTTGGTTTATTGCATGCATGACGCAACACGATGCTTCCCTATGGGATGCATTTAGGACTCACCTGCTAAACCGAAAACAACAACAGCCGGCACATAGAATGCAAGATTAGGTATTGACTGCTGGAACGGTGAGCCGGCATCGGTTAAATCAACCATTATGTGTAAAATATAGAAATATAATTGCCGCTAAATTGAAAAACTAATGCAGCGACTAGGCTGTGCTTGTTGCTTCGTCACACTTTTAAGTTTATCTTAGAAATTGTCGAAACACGACTCAGATGAAAATATCTGACTAGCCTTGCCACCTAACAGAAAAACAACAAAGCTGCCACTGTATGCAAACTCGACCAGTTTCAGTGCTGTAAACGCACAACGCTCAAGTTTTGACGTTGTTATACACTTGTCTGTGACAGCTGTTTAATTGGCGTGTGAGGCGACTGCAAATTTTGCTAGAAAGCTACGAATTTTGCTGAAACTCTTGTTAAAATGAAGGTTATCTACAATACCCTCTTCAAGCGTACGTCCACATACGCTGTGGCCATATTCGCATCAGCCTTCTTCTTTGAGCGAGCCATCGACGTCAGCTCGAACCTCATCTTCGAGTCCATCAACAAAGGCGTAAGTTTTGTTGCTTATGTAAGACCGAATTGTGCACTCAAGAACGTATTTTGCTATTACAGAAACTCTGGAAGGACATCAAGGGCAAATATGAATAGACCAGCGGTTCCAATGACTGCAGCTAGTTTTAAATAAAACAATGATGTTGCTTCATTGTTAATTAGCATACAAAAATCAACGTTTTATTCTAAACGATACGAAACCCAAAGCT